AATAAATGTATTGCTCTCATGGTGAAATCTTTCTTTTTTTGTGATATTTATGTTCCTGAGCAGAGCACTACTTAAATACCAATTAATGTCATCTGTAAGACTAGGAAAAGCAGAGTACTCTCTTTCTTCTTGATGGCTGAACAGTCCCACACCACTGCCAGCATCCCATAAAGTTCTTGCTCTAAATTATTCTGAAATCCATCTAGAAAAGCTGTAATGTTGGAGATGGAATTACTATGTAGTTTTGACATCAGGATTCATTTAGGTCTTTTTTTTCTATTTTATTCTCAGCGAACATCCACACACATGGAGATCCTTCTATATACACCCTGCTTCTATATCCCAAGTAAAACTTAGACCAGAAAATGTGATAGGAAACATCTTTCAGAGTAAATCTGAAAAGAGATAAGGTCATTAGGACATTTGTTACCTTCCAAAGCAAAATGTTAAATAGTCATCATTGGGGCTGGTATTTCTTTGCTGGCTTTGTTCACACTTTTAACCACCACTCTTCTCCAGTGAATTTTTGATTATCTTCCCATTTGTAAAAACATTAATATATGTTTTCAGGACTGCATTTCTGTTACGGTCTTCTAAGAAAATCTCTACAGAGATGTCATTCAGCTTTGCCTTCAAATAAAATCACTCAAAACTTGTCCATTTTAAACTGACATACAGCCACATCCAAATTTCTGAACTTGATTTCACAGCTCATTAAAAACAGAGCTAGTAAATTTTCCCATCTTTTGGTGTCAAATATTTTTATTGCAAATTGCTCTTGCTCAAAAATGCATGTGCATAAAGAAAGGGGAACTTTCTTTTGTTCCCCTTCAAATCACTGCAACTTGGACCACTGCCTTTAATGGAATTAGGCTCTGATGCATACAAAATACAGTTCAGTTTTGGAACCTGAATGTTTGAATCCAAGGCTTCTAAAACTTAAGGTTGGTTTGGTTACATTCACTTTATCGTGTTGTTGTAAGGCATTGTCATACAATACATTACTCTTCACTCTTAGTGCAACTCATAGATGAGTTGCCTGAAATATGCTTTTAAGCTGATGATGAGGTGAACTTTAATCATTGCAGTGCATGTATTTGGAAGCATACTGTTTCATGAATTGCATGGCTTAACTGAATTTTACCTATTGTATAATATAAATAAGTATTTTAATACAAATTCTACTTCTTGTCTTCACCTCTCATTAGAAAGAATAGTAATGTTATCTGAATCTCTTTTGCCATTCTGGGTATCTTCTGAATGACTACCATGGTTAACCATCCAGAGGACATTTTAATCAGTGCTGACACAGAGAACAAGAAAGTTTTGGCACAGTGTGTTTCATCTTGACTCAGCAAGATTTCCAGCACTCACATTTACACATTTTTGACAGGATGCTTCCTAAATGAAGCATTTGCCTTCTGGAGAACTACACCCACATAGATTTCATTTTTCCTGATGTCTCAGCCAACATACAATATCATGATCTTTATTAACAAATTCAAATTCAAAAACAATTTCAATTCAAGAAAGCTGTCCACGTTAGTTCTTGCTCGTTTCTTACATATGAGGATATCTACAAAAACACAGATGCTTCAGCAATGGATTTTAATGGCTGTATTTGTTCATGTATATGTATCCATTTCATATCAAGACAGATCAGCAGATCAGAGGAAGAAAAAAAAGTGAAGGAGACCTTTAAGATGAATCTGAGCTCTGATTGTAGGGGTCAGTGCAATGGATTTAACTCACTGTTTCAGATTTTTTCATAGCATAACGTAATAAAGTCTTACTGGGTGCCTTTCACTTTGCTTCAAATAGAATAACTTTTCTGATCTTCATAGACATCTGGTACCAATGTTCAAATTGCTATGTCTAATTGTATATCAGTGATGCTTGCTTACTTTGGCCCCTACACCTCTGTATAAATTTTAATTAAAAAGTCTTAATGTCAAACAACTGAAGACTTGAACAAGGAACAATGGCAGGATATGATCAGCTTTCTCCACATAAGACATATAAATATTTAACAGCCTTGCAAAATTGCAATGACAATTTATCAGCCTAGGAAGACTATCTATTTATCCACCTTTTACCCTGAGGAATGATAGCACTTAAAAAAAAAGAAGGAAAAAAAAAAGTCTGCTGTGAGCAGGTAAAAGTTTTAAAGTCAAACAATGAAATGTGTGTTTGATTGTGGGTGTGACGCATGAGGAAGGGGCTGAATTCAAATGTTGAATACAAAACTCCATTCTACACTAAAGAACAAGTCTAATTTTCTAGTATCATAAATGTGTTTCTACCCTTCTCTTTGAATTTACTGATAGGAGCATACTCCTGTAAGAAAAAAATCCAGAGGCAACTTACCAGATTTTGAACTATAATTATATACACACACATACCCCCCCAACACACACATATATAGTGATTATAATGCATGAAGCATAATCTTTACAAATAATATATATCTGTGCACTGACATTCCACTTAGTTTTGCAACAATAATGTTGAAAAATTACTACACCTTGTTCAAATCAGCTGAGAATATTTAATGGGAATACTTATTTTTTTCCCTTCTCAGTGGGCAGATTAATTAAAACCTGCATGAAATAATGGTAATTTTGTTTCGAGTAGTGAAACATTTTAGTATTTTAGAGTTTTGCAATAATCAGTCTGGAAGAAACGGAAGAAATTTAATAGGCAAGTTGCTTAGATATCCATTGCTACACATCTAAACCAGGAATTATCAAATAAATAAATAAATCACACATCTGGTTTCATTTTGTTATTCTCTGTAAGACACTGTCTTGTACTGGAACTTTCATTTACTCTAAAGAAAGTTCTTCACAAAGACAGCTTGTTCTACTATGCTCGCAGTTTTTATGTAAATTTAAACATTAAATATTGCTTCTGATACCTAATTGAAGGATAGAACTTTACTCCTACAGCTGTTTACAGATAACATCCTCTGAAGCTCAGTATGCCTTATGATGAAAATTACAGAACAGGACTGAGAGACTAGTCCATGCTATTTCTCTGAGGCAAGTTTAAGTACACTTATATCATCCCTGACAGGTATTTTTTGAACTCTCGAAAATCTTTAAAGAAGGAGGTATCAGAACCTTCCCTACTCCAGCTTACGGATGTAGATACTTCTCTTTAATATGCATCCTAAATATTTTCCAACTACTTCATTTTATTTTTTTGCCCAATATGCAAATCGGAGTCCTTAGACATTAGTAGCACATACACTTAAAGGAAGAGGCAAATACAAAAAAGCTAATGTTTAAAGGCATTTACATACCTATCACTGCAGATAGGCACCTAGTAGCATGATGAAATACATGGAGATGCTGAACAATTCAATTTCAATGGGAGGTGGCTGGATGCAACACGTATCTTCCCCACTACAACACAGAAACAGGGAAGGGATTGAACCTCTGTACGGCCAAATGTACTTCTCAGTAATTTTCTTGGGTCATAACACTGTTACTTAGTGTAGTACATAGTACTACACTAGTGTACATAGTGTAGTACATAGTACTGTTACTTAATGTGACCTAAATATCATGTCATCAAACACTAGCATACTGAAATTCACAGTGAGCTAGGGAAATCCACAGAAGTATTTAAATATTTTGGGAGCCCAGGATGTAGTAGTTAAAAACTTTCTGTTCCTCAAGAGTTCCACATCCTATCCCAATTCCTTCTGGGACTCTCCCTACGAACTTAGAAGGATTTCTGTGCATACACGGATCAATATCTGTATTATCTAACATTAATTTAAGAAAAAAAAAAGAAAAAAAGATGTGTGTATCAAATACACAGTTCACTGAAAATGTTCAGTTATGGAAAAGAATGACATGATATGATACGGTTAAGTTTTTCAGAAAAAAATATGCATGCAAATTGTGAAGGAAGATTTATTAAATAAAAATACTTCACTGTCTCTGAAAAAGAAAGAAAAAATATTTCTTTTCTTCCCAAAACCTGAAAACAAACTTACTTTACATCTAATATTAATGAGGTACTTGGAAACAAAGAAAAACAAATTCCTCGGAGGCCTTTAAAAGCAGAAACAAGCATTTAACATAATCCTTTAAGTGAAAGTGATGTCACAAATTTCGTTGTTGTTCTTCAGAAAACTAAAAAGGCGTATCGGTGACTATAAGTCCCACTGTCTACAGCTAGAGAAACATTCCATGGTTGGTGTTTGTTCAAATCAGTAACCACTGTTTTCACTCCCTTCTGATTGTGTTTTATACAATATACATATTTTTAAAAGGATCCCCGAAATATATTTGAGTTATACAGATCGGCTAGAAATATCCATTAAAAGTGTTTAATAATGTTTGTTCAGAGTAGTTAAATTAATTTCAGAGCTCAGTCCAGCAGCCAGAATGATCAGGAACTGATCAGGAATCTTGTCTGAATCCTCAGCAGGATGGTTTCCATATGGGTGGAATCTGTCTTCTAGAAACTGCCATTATAAACAAAAATAATGACAGAGGGAAGAAAACCAGACTGAATAACCACATAGCAGTGACTAAATTCAGCTTCTCATGCATTCCTCCTGTGGCAGCACTAGTGGGGGTATCAGAATTCCTGTATAACAGCATGATCCAAATTCAACTGCAATCAATGAAAGGTTTTCTGTTGTCTTAATATTGGATCGTCCCCAGGCATTTGTTCAAATTTGGGTAGATGTTGCTTGATAACACAGTGTTCTATCATTTCTTTTCAGTACTTGACAGATATTAAGATACAGTGGGGAGGAAAAAAAAGCAACAACCCAATACAAAAAGAAAAAAAAAAAGAAGAAAAGCACTTTACTACATTTTTACATTTAGTAAATGGTACTTAAGCTCCATGGAGATGAATTTACCTTTAGAAGTTTACTATTTTCAGTATTTCATAGAAAAAAAATTGCTCTAATATACCATTTCCAACCATACAATTATTACAGAACATAAAGATCATAGGAAAGGGCTTGATCCTTTTCCAAGCTGAGATGGTAATCAGCCCCTTTTAAACTCCTATGGGAGAAGGGTCAGATGAGAATGTGCTGTGTTCCTAATTTCAAACATCCTTTGTGATAAAAGAGTTGATATTTTGGCATATACTTTGCCTTTGTAGTTTGAATTCTATCAATAACTATTCCTAGCCACAAGAGAAATATTTTTAGGCAATATATTTGTATAGCTTCACAAAAGTATGTCAGAGAGATGTGCGTGTGTTTGTGTGTGTGTGTATGTACGTATGCATATTTATGAGTTTGGGATGATTTTCTTAAAATACTTCACTTACATATATCTTACATTGCAAAATGTACAGACACTCAGTGTTCTTTTCAACAACATATATAGGTGAGCTTATAGAGCCTTATAAAAGGTTTTATGATTCCAAATTAAAAAGCATAGAAATATCATCAAAATAATGGAGAGTGAATTATACCTCTGATAGTACATAGCGCTCATTCTGGTAATATTGACAGCTGCATCTTTGGCATTGAAAATTCATTACAATTTTTAGACAAAATGTTGTTGCTTACAGCTCTTTTTTTTTTTTTTTTTTTTTTAAACAAGAAAAACAGGATTGATCAAGATACGAATATTGGGGAAGTACTATTAAAGGTTTATTTTATATTTGTTTTTAGCAAGGATAGCTTAGGAACCCTGAATTACCTTCTCATTTTAGTGTATGGTGTAGACTGTATGAATCCATTTAAAAATCAACTAAGTTGTACCACATTTTTCTCAAAATTATATATAATATAATATATATATATTTTATATTTATTTAGAAGCTTTGAAATAGTACAGTAAACACTTTGCAACACGGTGTATAAACTACAGAATGTCTTCGATAATTTGGTGGGTCTTCAGATTAACAACATTTTTGTGACCCACGGGTGAAAAGAACATGATCACAATCTCTCTTGTAAAGTTGGAATAGTTTGGGGAACACTTGATCACACAAAAATAATATAAAACAGTCAAGTTTAAAACAGTGATATTGCATTTATAATGCACATTTCTTTTATCTGTACGATTGGCTTCTTGTGGTGATTATAAACATCTAAAGGGCTCAGTGACATTTTGGAGAGAGAAAGATATATAGTGCTGTAAACAGGCACACACTGATCAGAGAGGCAAGATCAGTTGCCTCTGAAGTTTCTACAGTTCTACACATTTCAACTCATTTCTCAGGCCTGCTGAGAGCAATTAGGTCCTATTGTTGGCCATGATGTCTCCAACAGCACACAAATCCTTCAGTTAGACAGAACTGGATGGCCAAGATAATGAAGTTGAAAGTTGATGCTTTTTGTTGGTCGACTTTTGTGCAAATCATGCTGCTTCAGGTAAGTCCTGTAGAAGTGACTAGCATATCCTTTTCCGTGCTGCAGGAAAGAAAAAAAGACACTTCTGAGAGAAAAAGGAAAAAATCAGTCCCCAACAGTTCTTAGGTTTAGTATTTCTTAAAGTGTAGAGAGATAATCAGAACTTGTCACAAACTGTTGCTTAAAATTCCCATTGTAGCAAACAGTTTAATGTTGATTCATTTTTTCAGAGAAAAGTCTTTTTGAGGCTTGATAGTCTGAAAACCAAACTTCTCATGTTGTTTTATTATTCTGTCTAACACATCATGGCAAGTATTCCAGTGTGCCTCTATAGAAACAGTACAAGAACAAGGCAAATAGTCAGACTTGTAGGTTCAATATTATAGGAATTTCCAAGCCTATTTTTTCCTAGTTCGTCTTGTTATTTGAAGCAAGATCTAGAATCCCCCAGATTCAGAAGCTGGTTTTCCTTCCTTTCAAAGTGAACCATTATCCTCATCACCAAATGACCCTTTAGTCTGGTTTGACAGAGAGATGAAAAAATGGTACATTAGTGCTACAATTAAAATTTCAGCATTTACTGTTAGGCTGGAAATTAACTCGTGTTACACAAATGAAAAAGGTCAATGCATTAGCAAACCCATATCCTAATCCACCAGCTGTGCTAGCTATTTTATCTCAAGACACTGCTTATTTTAACTGTAATTGGGAGCAAAGGTAACAAATGATTTGTATAGCACTCAGAAAGACCCTGGGTTAAATTCTGATCTCAGTTGCACGCAAAGTTGAGACAAGGAACTGGCTCAGTTGCTGAAGCATTATTAGTACCATTACTACCATCGTCTTCGTTGTTGTTATTGTTTAGTAAAGCTGAAATGTTAAAATCAGCTTTTACCTTAGCTCCAAATCAACTAAATTCTCTACCTGAAATTCTGTGTATTCCTAACCATGAAGTGTTACAACTAAAATAAAAGGAAACTTAGCTTGAACTAAGCCATACATATATACATGCCTGCATGTAACAAACAGATCCAGTCTCCATTCCATTTAACAAATATACACATGAACCATATTTATTACCTATAGATACACACACTAATAAACATATGAGGTTTATCACTGTATCACAATGACTTTAGTTTACTCACAGAAAAAAGTTAACATGGGCATTGTTTGTTTGATCTAGCCTACCTATCCCATGGGATGCATACAGAAAAATGTTACAAACATTTATTCATAAGCTACTTGTTCAATGCACAGACACCTGCCAGATCTGTTATTAACACTAACATTAAAATATCTATTACTGTTTTGAAGTTTCATTCTGTAGCAAATTAGCAGCAGAATGCAAAAGAATTTTTAAAAGCTCCAGCAAAAGTTTTTTAAATTGGTAGTTAAGATTAATGAGATCAGAATCTTCATGATCTTTTGAGGGAGTATAGGATCAGACCAATCAAGTTTCTAGACAACTTTATAAGAATATATTTTAAATACAATAAGAAACAATAATTCCAATAATAATAACAAGATCTATATTTGATCTTCAACACCAAAAGTTCAATAATAATTTCAATGCTCTTGTAAATACGTAAGTACAGTAGTCTTGATTGTTGTCTGCCATTGAGAAATTCATACTGCAGTACATACACAGGACTTTCATGAGACAAAACTATACAGACACAAAGCACTACTTTCTTTCTATTCCTGTCTAACAGTGCACTGGTGTTATTAGCGTGGCACTTGAGGCACACAACATTTGTTAAAGATATTCTTTCAGATAATACAGAGTCTGAGCTGCTGCCTGAGTCTAATCTTTTGCAATGAAAATCAGTACTTTTTTGTATTATTTAAAACTTTTATTAATGTGCTTATATCAGGCCATTTTATAGTAATAACTAAATATTACAAGTCAGGGTGCAGAACACATGCAACTCTCCCCACCTACAAAAATCCTTGTCCCAAATCCTCAGATATCCTCTGCCAACATACAAAATACTTTGGATTTCAAAAGTAAGTTTTGTCCTCCATGGTGGTTTTTTGTTTGTTTGTTTGTCTGGTTTTTTTTTT